TCCCTTCCAGGTCTTCCTCCATGAGGCCACCGTGCGCCTGATGGCGGGTGCCAGCCCTACCCGCACCCACCAGCTGCTGGAGCACAGCTTGAGGCGACGCACGCCCCAGAGCAGCAAGCAAGGTTGGCCCTGGGGCCCGGGCAGCGACCCACTGCCTGTGGGGCTGGGAGGGGGCAGCACTTGGGCAAAGTGGGGGGGCATAGCTGCAGCCTGCAGCCTCTTCCCCATGTCTGAGGCTCAGGATAACGAGCTCCTATCAGCCTATGGCTCATGGCGATGCTTCTGCCATGCTCTCTACAAGTTGGCCAACATGAGCTGCCAGCCCTGGGCTGGAGGTGTTGGCAAATAGGCTGGAAAACATTTGCCTTCGTGCAGCCACGCGTGCACAAAACAGCAGGCTGGAGTTCGGGGCGATCAATGCAAAGGCAGAAGCCAGGAATCCTAAAGGGGAGAGCCAAGAGATGTGGTGCTGGTTATAAAATCCCTTGGGGGTTTAAGGAAATGGGCAGGTGTCTGTGCCGGTGCTGGGATGAGCCCTAGGAAGTGAAGTGAAAGGGACCATCTCTGTAGAAGACAGGATTGCCAGTCCCTGCCTGACTCCAGCTCAGACTGTTCTCCCCTGCCAGCCTAAAGCAGCTGCTTGGGGATCCACAGGGTGCCCCTCACTTTTGGCACAGCTGGGGGACGCCAGCCAGGGATGCCTGTGCTAACTGGTGCCAGTCGAGGGCCTGCATGGCGGGGTTTCATCATGCAGGCGGTAGCTTCATCATGAGCTTTCTCTCTCGTCTTTGCACGTAGGTGAACTGGACACGCTGCCAGGCCAGAGGGAGCGAGCCACGGCCATCCTGTTGGCCTGCCGCCATCTCCCCCTCTCCTTCCTCTCCTCCCCGGGCCAGCGAGCGGTCCTGCTGGCTGAGGCTGCCCGCACCCTGGAGAAGGTGGGGGACAAGCGCTCCTGCAATGACTGCCAGCAGATGATTGTCAAACTGAGTGGGGGCACAGCCATCGCCGCCTCCTAATGCCAGCGTGGGGCCGCCTCGTGCAAAGACAAGCCTAGTCGACGATCGGCCTGGACTTCCCTTCTGGAGCTTAAAAAAAAAAAAAAAAAAAAAAAAAAAAAGTGCTAGGTTAGGGCTGTGCTGGTGGGATGACGATGGGGTGGGAGAGGGAGGGTTTTGGTTTTGTTTCGCGTTTTTAACTTGCCCCAGGTTTAGTTTTATTAGCCATGTTGCTTGTTCTCAGGCACTGCAGGTGCTAGGTTAGGGCTGTGCTGGTGGGATGACGATGGGGTGGGAGAGGGAGGGTTTTGGTTTTGTTTCGCGTTTTTAACTTGCCCCAGGTTTAGTTTTATTAGCCATGTTGCTTGTTCTCAGGCACTGCAGCAGAAATCTGTCTAGTTGTGGTTTTTGTGACTGTGCCTGGGGCTGTTGGGAAGTGCTGCCCTGACCTGGAGCCCCCATCCCTGCTGCGGGGAGAAGCCCACAAGCCCAAGGCATAGAGAAGTGGCATATCCCCTGTCTGTCCTCAGGGGCATCTTGTTCCCTTCCCAGACACCTCTGTGGAAAGAAACCTTTGGGGAGGGCAGAGGATCCGCTCGAGCCTTGCCCCGCGGGGCTGCTGAGGTCTGGGGCTGTTCCCAAGAGAGGGGGAGAAGGCACCAGCTTTCCTTGAGCTGTGTGTCAGGAAACTGAAGCCCCCTAGACCCAACTTACAGAGGTGCTCTGGGAGTATCACTTGGGGCCAGTCCTGCCTGGCAAATTTCTCTACGGTTTTTATACAGATTTTTTTTATAGGAGTGTTTGTGGCTTTACAAAAACATAGGGAACGATGCAGCAGATTTCACTTCGTCTCCACTTCATGCGCCTCCTTCCTGTGATAGCCACCTCTGGTTTTTGACGGGGGGGCTGGGTTTGTGGCAGCCTACAACAGGCAGAGCCTTGCAGAAGGTCAGGGCATCCCTGGTCATCTGGTGCTGGGTGGCAGCAGAGGTGGACGTGCAGCACCCTGCACTTGGCGTGAAGGGTGAATGCTTTTCTGGTGCCTTTTTGTTGATGCAGAAACAATTCTTAGAAACAGTTTTTCTTCTTTTACTCAACTCCCAGTCCCAGAACTTCTGTCTTCAGGTGTTTCTCCTTCCATTCTCCAACTGCTCAACATAAACTGAGCTCCTGCAGGGACTGGGAGGCACTGGTTCAGAGTCTCCCAGCTCTGTTACCATCGCTATTCAGAGCAGTTTGACTTGCAGGTGTTGAATCGCCTGTGATTTTCCAAGGGCAGGGGACAGATCGGGAACAAGGAGGGAACGGTTTGCCCTCTTCCTCTCTGCTGTTCCTGTTGCATCTCTCCAAAGAAGTGCAAAGCGGTTGCCCTCTCACACGTGCAAATGTGGACGCCCGCCTTTGGCAGGTGGGCATTGCTGTTTCTCCCTGTGCGTGGCCAGCGTGTGCTCTGTGTTGGCAGCTAGAAGCACTTGGATACGGGCAGCAGCCCAATCCTATGCTGTCCCAGTCAGGCCCATACAGCCTGGCTCCTGCAAAATCAGAACTCGAGCTGTTTTGCAAGAGGCTTCTATATGTATCCAGCTTTTGCAGAGGGACGCGAGAGCTTGAGCTCCTTCCAAAATAAGGGGAAAAAGGTGGGGGCTTGTTCTTTCACTTTGCACAGGGTCTTTTGGCATCTGGGAGGGAGATTTCATGTGCTGCAGGAATTGAATACAAGTAAGGCTAGTCCTAGAGTTGCCTGGCTTCAACAAGGTGGAAACTGGGGCCGGGAGAAACCTGTCTCCCAGCAAAGCCTGTTCCCAGTGACTCCGGGAACCTGTAGCTGCCAACAAAAGTGTCAGGACCAGAAGACGCTTCCCTCCCTCCCCGACTTGATTTGGGGAATAGCTGGTGGGCACCCAGCTGCAATGGCTGGCGGCCTGTGCTTCTCACCCTACCAGCAGGCAGGGGGGGGTCCCTTGCTCCCAGTGTCAGCAGTCGGAGGGGAGCTCGTCCTTTGAGGGGGAGAGGTTGCTCTTGCCAGTCTTCGATCAGTGTAGGGGATGCTCTGGGGGCAGCCACTTCTGCTTTGAGCGGGTATCCACTTAGAACAGCAGAACAGCTCTTGGGTTTGGGTGGGTTTTGATTGCCCATCCCAAGTTTCCTAGCTTATCTGTGATCCTGTTTTGGGGGGTGGATCACATCCTCCTACTTTTTCTCCTCTTAAGTGGCTCTCACACTGTCTTCCCGGTGGTGGGTTTTTCCTAAAATACAGAAACTCCTTACCTGTGGCAACCTCTGAGTTATTTCGCATTTCCCCAGATCCGCGTCCAACACGTGGGAAGTTGTGCTTTAGTAAAAGAGGAAGCCGAGACTTTTGGGAAACGGAGATGCTGAGGCTTCACTCTGTCGCTAAGGGTGGACCGAGTCCTGGGGGATGGGCTGCAGGGAGTGCGGGCTGGGCTGGGGGTGGGAGGCTGCTGGGCTGAAACCCTGGTGGCTCATGGTGTGATCCACAGAGGGCCCTAGCGCTGCTGGTGCTTCTCTCCCCTCCAGGGCGAGCGGTCTTTGCCCTGTTTTTTCTACACTGTTGATAAATTTGCTGCCCATCCGTTCCTACAACTTTTTTTTTATATGTGTGTGTATATACTGTAACTTTTTTTTTGTTGTTTGCGGGTGGGAGGAGGTGGTTTTCTGGATTATGTGAAGAAAGTCTATTTATCCACATGGAGTTCGGGGTAGGGATGCTTTATGAAATGAGGTGCAACTGGTGGTGGGGACGTTCCCCAGGGAACATATCTGCTGTCTGAAAACCCTGTTCCAGGGCTCGTGAGCACGTTACCTAATAAAGGTGAGCGTTACCACCATCTCCCGCCTGCCCTTTCTCTCAGCCCTCTTCATCCCACCCAGCAGCTGCTCTTATGCATAGGTGAGCCTGAAACGTCCTTCAGAGCCATCCCACCACACAAGTGCCTCAGGAAGCTGCGAGTCCTTTGTCCAGATAACCTGGAACATGGAGCTGTACGGTTTGCAATGAAAGACGGTCCCTCGGTGGAGCAAGTGTGGTGTCTCTGCGCTCCTTTGGAAGCAACCCAAGAGGCTGATGGCTTGAGCAGAGCCAAGCAAGGTAGAGCTGGGCCAGAAGCTTGCAATTTTAGGAGCATCTATGTGGGAGGAAAGCTTTTACCTGACCTTGCTCGGAACAATGTCCTTTCACTCCGTCTCTTTGTTTCTGCTCCTCCTGGTAAAACTCTGTCAGAACCATTAAACTTCAGACAGCGGAGATCTGTTTGGTTTTTGTGTAGCTGCTTGAAGGGTTTTGCAGTTGGCCCTGGAAGCTGTGCCCCCACCATGTCCCTTATTGGGGGCAGGGGTTCCCCAGGCCCTATGGGACTGAGCTGTGCACTCTGCTGCCCGTGGGGAAGGGGCTGGGGTTTTGGGAGCAGTGTGGGGGTCCCCAGCTGATCCACACTGAGGCCATACAGTTTGATGTATTATTTATTGACAAGGTGAAGGCCGGGGCAGTGGGGAAGGGGAGGCTGGGGGGGGAAAGAGGCTGCTTGGGCTTTGCCGGCAGTGTTGGGATGGTGCTTTGAGTCCATTGCTCTTCCCCTGCCTGGTGATAGGGGCTAGGTGGGGGTGCCTGGCTCAAGCAGGATGTGTCCCTCCATCCCTGGGGGCTGTGGTCTGTCCGGCGTCAGCCCCCGTCCCCTGAGCAGCGCACTGCTCCACCGATGTGCCCCTGGCTCAGCCTCTTCATGGGGCAGGCTGAGAACGGCTGAAACTTGTTGCCTGGATGAGAGGGACAGCCTGGCCCACGGTGCCTCCTCGATGGTGAAGTGCAGCCGGCAGCCCCCATCCTCCGGAGAGGAAGGACGGCGCATCTCCCGCCATGGCCAGCCGTCATGGTTTACGTAGGACCAATGATGCTTTGCTCCAGCGGGCTGCCCCCGGGGGAGGCCGTCAGCCACGCTCAGGCGAGGGGGCAGCCCCAGCCCTGGTGCCCGATGGTGCCGGCCATCAGACGGTGACCTCGGTCTTGCTGTTGGTGGCGAGGTGCCGGGGGGGCTGGCCGTACAGCGGGGTGGCAGGGCCGAAAGCCTCGGGCGGCGCCTCAGGGCGAAGGGTGGCCAGGCCGGGCCGGCGGGGGCCACGGGGGGGGCCCCCATCCCAGCCCCCCGGGAAGGCTGGGCCCCCTGCCAGCTTGGGGCCCTTGGCCTTGGCTGTGGGGCAGCCCTCGGGTAGCGCCGGGGCCTCGGTGGAGGGGAAGGGCAGGGTGCCGGCGGGGGGGGGCCCCGGCCCCCCCGACCGCCCCTAGGAGAGCTCGGGGGGGGCCCCCGTGGGG